GGGACAGTCCTGGGGGACTCAGCCCTGGTGTGGTTTGTGATGGAGATGAGGGCAGAGGGGGTCTGGCTGCTGGGTGAGGGGTTCCTGGGTGTCCTGGGGGGTYTGGGGGTGATTCCTTTGAGCTMTGSGGTGACTCTGGGGYGACTCTGGTGGTCTGGGGGTGACYCTGGTGGTCTGAGGGTGGTCTGGGTTTAATCCAGTGCTTTGTGAGTACCTCCAGGAGGGGTCTGGGGTTATTCTGGTGGTTTGGGGGTGACTCTGGGGTGGCCCTGTTGGTCTGGGGGTGGTCTGGGGTTACCCTGGTGGTTTGTGGGTGACTCCAGGAGGGGTCTGGGGTTGTTCTGATGGTTTGGGGGTGACTCTGGGCTGGCCCTGGTAGTCTAAGGGTGACCCCTGGCATGGTCTAGTGTTATTCTGGTGGTCTGGGGGTGACTCTAGGAGTAATCTGGGGATGGTTTGGGGCTCTCCCTCCACCCCCAACCCTTTTTCCCCCCCTGTTCCCCCAGGGGACCGCACGTACCCGCTGAAGCCGTGGCTGCTGACGCCCATCTCGGGCCCGCGGGGTCCGGCCGAGCTGCGCTACAACGCCCTTCACTCGCGGACCCTCGACCCCCTGCGCCGCACCCTGGGGCTGCTGCGCCGCCGATTCCGCTGCCTGGCGGGCGGGGGGCTTCAGTACAGCCCCCCCAAAGTCTGCCAGATCTTCCTGGCCTGCTGCATCCTGCACAACATCGCCCTGCGCCGCCGCGTCCCYCTGGAACCCCCCGAGGGGCTCCCGCCCGCCCCGGATCACCCCGAGCCCCCCGAGCAGCCGCCACCGTCCCCCGGGCCGGGGTCCCGTGAGGGGCGGGCGGTGCGGGCCAGGGTGGTGCAGCAGGTCAGGGAGGGGCTCGGCTGAGGTCTGGGGGGATTGGAGTATTTGGGAGGGGGCTGAGCCCTGATTTGGGGAGATTCTGAACCTTTGGAATGGGGTGAGGCCCAGTTTGGGGGATTCTGAACCTTTGGGAGGATGTTGAGCTCTGATTTGGGGGGGTTCTGAGTCCTTGGAGGGGTCTGAGCCCTGATTTGGGGGGGTTCTGAGTCCTTGGGGGATGCTGAGCCCTGATTTGGGGGGGTTCTCAAACCTCTGAGGGGGCTGAGCTCTGATTTGGGGGGGTTCTCAAACCTCTGAAGGGGCTGAGCTCTGATTTGGGGGGGTTCTGAACCCTCTGAGGGGGCTGAGCCCTGATTTGGGGGGGTTCTGAACACTTGGAGGGGGCCGAGCCCTGATTTGGGGGGGTTTTGAACCCTCTGAGGGGGCTGAGCCCCACTTTGGGTGGATTCTGAGTCCTCGAGAGGGTGCTGAGCCCTGATTTGGAGAACTCTGGATCCCTAGGGTTGTGGGTGAACCTCTGGGAGGGTTCTGAATCCCGATTTGGGGGTCTTTGAGCCCTTGGGAGGGGTTGAGCTCTGATTTAGGGTGGCTTTGAGCCTTTGGGGYGTTCTAATCCCCAATTTGGGGGGTGCTCTGACCCCCAAAAGTGGCAGTCTGTCACTTTGTGGGAGTCTTGCTCACCTTTGGTCTCAAACTCAGTCCCCCAGCTGTGTCTGTGTTCATTTTGGGGCAAATAAACATCTTTTTTTTCAAGTCTTCATTGCCCTGCGGTGTTTTGGTGAGGGGGTGGGGAGTGCTGCTCACCTTGAGGGTCACTGGGCTGCAGGTAGAGGCTCTCAACCCCCCCTCYGTGGGGATTTTGGGGGTCTTTAAGATGTTCCCGTGGTCGGGGTGATCCCCCTGACACCTCCAGCCCCCAAAACCCCACAGGAAACCCACGGGGACCCTCAAAAAACCCCTTGGGGACCCCCCAAAACCCCACTATATCCCACGGGACCCTCACCTTTCCCACCGTCCGGTTCCAAAAAGCCCCCTAAGCCCCCCCAAACCTTTCTAAACCCAAAAAATCCCCTCAAACCCTCCCGAAATTTCCCACTCGGGCCCTTTCCATTCCCCGCGCCGTTGCCATGACGACAAAACGCCGGAAGTGGTGCTACCGCCAAACCCTTCCCCCGCGGCGCGGCCGCTTCCGGTCCCACGGGAGAACGGGTCCGGCGTGCAGCRGTGACGCGCGAGCGGTTCCGGGGTCAGAGTCCGCGGCCATGGCGTCGCCGGAGACCGCCGGGAGCAGCTGCCGGGTTGGGACSCCCGAAAACGGGACGGGAGGGTGGCGATTGGGGGGCACGGGGGGCTTGGGGAGTCGGGGAAGGTCAAACGGAGGGGTTTGGGGGGTCTGGGAGCGGAGGACGGGCGGTTTGGTGGTGCAGCGCTCTGGTCATGGGAGTTCTGAGGGTGTAAGATCCGTTCCGTGGTGGTTTTTGGGGTGCAGGATCCTTCGCAGAGGGGTTTTGAGGGTTTAGGACCGCAGAAAAAAAGCACTTTCGGGGGTTCAGGACCCCTGGCGGGGGAMGGTTTGGGGTTCAGAGCCTCATGAAAAACAATTTCGGGGGTGCAGGATCCCTCACGCAGCCCTCCCAGAGCAGTTCTGACGGTTCAGAGCTCCCTTTCCCCGCAGTTTTGGGGTGCTTATCCCCTTTTTACCCCTCAATCTTGAGCTGCTGACACTTCCCCCCATTCCTGAGCCGTTTCCCCCCCAATTTTGGGGTGCTGACCCCCGTTTTTTTTCCCCCCAGCTGGAATTCGCGGTGCAGATGAACTGCCAGGGCTGTGCCGAATCCGTGCGGGCGGCGCTGGACGCGGCTCCCGGTGAGACCCCCGACCCTTCCCGAGCTCGGGGACCCCTCCCAAGATTTTGAGGGACCCCCTTTGTGCCCCCCCAGACGTGAAGCTGCTGGAACTGCGGCCCCAGGAGCAGTCGGTGCTGGTGGAGACCACGGCGGCGGCCGAGCGAGTGCGGGAGCTGCTGGAGAATTCGGGGTGCAGAGCCGTGCTCAAGGGCATGGGGGGCTCTTCCGAGGGTGAGAGGGGCTTGGGGGAGTCCCGGGAGGGGTCCTGGAGGGATTTGGGGGAGTCCCGAGGGGGTTTAGGGGGTGCCAGAGGGTTAGGGGGAGTTTGGGAGTTGCAAAGGAAGGAGTTGGGAGAGTTTGGAGAGGTCATAGAGGGGTTTGAGGGGTCCTGGGGGGCTTTGGGATGGTCACAGAAGGGTCTGGGGGGGTTCCAGTGGGGTTTGGAGGGGTCTCAGTGGGGTTTGAGGGGTCCTGGGCGATTTTGGGATGGTCACAGAAGGGTTTGGGGGGGTCACAGAAGGGTTTGGAGGGGTCTCACTGGGGTTTGAAGGGTCCTGGGGGCTTTGAGATGGTCACAGAAGGGTTTGGGGGGTCTTAGCGGGGTTTGGGATCCCTGGCTGGGGTTTAGGGGTGGAAGTTCAGTTTTGGGGTGAAAGTTTCGGGGTCCCTCAGGTTGTTTTTGTGATGGGGGTGGTTCTGGGGGTCCCACACCCTGACATGTCCCCCTCCCCAGTTCCCCCCGGGGGGGCTGCAGTGGCGGCACTGGGGGGTCCCGGTGGGGTCCGGGGCCTGGTCCGGTTCCTGCAGCTCTCGCCCGGTCGCTGCCTCGTGGACGGGGCCGTGTCCGGGCTCCCCCCRGGCCCCCACGGGCTCCACATCCACGAATTCGGGGACCTCTCGGATCCCTGTAACAGGTAAGGGGGGGCGGGTGGGCTGCGGGGGGGGTTGGAGGGTGTGGGGACCCCAAATTTCACCCCCCATGTCCTGTTCCCCCCCAAAACAGCTGCGGGGGCCACTTCGACCCTGACGGGGAGACCCATGGGGGACCCCAGGACCAGCACAGGGTGAGCTGGGGGAGGATTTTTGGGGGTCCTGGGGGTTCTCAAGGGGCTCTGTGGGTTTTTGGGGTCTCTGTGAGTTTTGGGGTGGTTTCTGTGAGTTTTTGGGGGGCTCCTGGACCCCCTCTGCCCCCACAGCACGCCGGGGACCTGGGGAACATCTGGGCTGACGCCGAGGGCCGAGCGCGGTTCAGGATCGAGGACACGCGGCTGAAGGTGGGAATTGGGGGTCTGACCCCATTCTGTGACTGTGGCAGGGTCTGCCCCATAATTTGGGGGTCTCTGTRAGGTTCTGACCCCTCCAATCCCCCCCTCCCCAGGTCTGGGACATCATCGGCCGCTCTGTGGTGGTGGCCGAGAGCGAGGATGACCTGGGCCGGGGGTCCCACCCGCTGTCCCGGGTCAACGGCAACTCAGGGCCGGGGTGAGTGCAGGGAGAGGTTTTTTTTGGGGGGGTTTGGGGGTCTTCCCCCCCTCTGACCCCTCCCCGTGTCTCCAGGCTGGCCTGTGGCGTGGTGGCCCGTGCGGCCGGGCTCTTCCAGAACCCCAAACGCGTCTGTTCCTGCGACGGCGTCACCCTCTGGGAGGAGCGGGACCGGAGCCACGGGACCCCCCCGGGGACCCCCGCCATGGAGACCCCCAGCCCCCACCTCTRAGAGCCCCCCGGGACCGAATAAACGCCCCTCGCTCTGCAGCCGCTGCGGTTCTGGGGGGGGGAACGCGACCCTCGAAATGCGGCGGCTCCTTTAAGGGGGGGGGCGTGGCCACAGTGAACAGGCGGCTGTAGGGGGCGTGGTCTGTCAGAGCGTGGGCGGGGCTAACGCGGCGGGAACAGAACGGGCGGTGCACACGGCACGCAGGCGCGCGGAGGCAGGGCGGTGCGCACGGCACGCAGGCGCGCTGCGCACGGCACCGCCCCCGCCGCCTTCAGGAATCGCCGCCATTTTGAAGCCGCCGCCGCCGCTGCCGGTTCTGTCCCCGCTCCGCTCCCCCCCCCCCACCGATTCCCGCCGCGATGCGTCCCGGCATCAAACTCTTCGTGGGCAATGTCCCCGAAGAGGCGACGGCGGAAGAGTTGAGCGAGCTGTTCGCCGGCGTCGCGGGGCCGGTGCTGGGCGTCGCCCTCATGAAACAGTTCGCCTTCGTGCACCTGCGGGACGAGGCGGCGGCCGCGCGCGCCATCTCGCAGCTCAACGGGCACCAACTGCACGGCCGCCGCATCGTGGTGGAGCCGTCCCGGCCGCGCCCCACCAACACCTGCAAGATCTTCGTGGGGAATGTGTCGGCCGCGTGCACGAGCGGGGAGCTGCGCTCGCTCTTCCAACAGTACGGCCCCGTGGTGGAATGCGACGTGGTGAAAGGTACCGGACCCGCCGCCGCCGGGGCCGCGCGGCCCCCGCCGAGCTCGGCCCGCGCCGCCGGGTGACCCGTGGCACCCGAGTTCCGTCCGACTGCGGCGTCGCCCCCGCCCGGACCCCGGCACGGCCCGGGCTGGTGGAGCGGGGGAGGGGGTTCTGCCGTCTCCCCCCGCCCGGAATCGGGGCCCGTGCGAGCTGCTGTAACCCCTTTCCTGCCAGCCACATCCTCCTCCATCGCCTCCGCCTGTCCCGGCCGGGGCGGTGCGGGTCTGTGTGGGTCTGTGTGGGTGGCCCAAACCCCTTAACCCCCCCGCTTCTTAGCAGCCACGTGTCTTCCATCGCCTCCCCCAGGCTCAGGTGGGGCTGTGTGAGTCCCTCTGGGCTCCCCAAATCCYCTCCMACCYCCCCWAACYCGCCCTATAGCTACCGTGAACCCCYTTCCAGGTARCCACATCCYCYRSCCCYAGCTGGGGTGACCCCCTGMCCRSTGSTGCCACCTCTGTGACCCAATCACCCCTGACCTACCGTGGCCTGGCCTCCCCAGACACGCTTGGACACGGAGCTGGGACATGCACAGAACACACCATGAAAATGCCCCTCCAAGGGGCTCAACGGTTTTACACTGGGGACCCCCAACACAGCCTGATGGGGTCATCCCCCTTCCACCACCCCTGTGTCACAAAGATTGTGTGACAGTGTCACTTCCTTCCTCTGATGCTGCTGTCACCTCATCCCCTCTCACCGGGAGTCCTGRTGATGTCCCCAYGGTGCCCGTGTCCCCCCACCYGCAGTGGGGGGATGTTGTTCCTCTGCTCTCTTGTCCCAGGTTGCAGCTGCCAGCAGAGCCCGGCAGAGCCTGCCTTGTGTCCCCTCGGGTTCAAGGCCACCACAGGAGGTGGCAGCGGGTTGGGAGGGGACATGGAGGGGACATTCCCCTCTTCAGGCTGCCAGAGTGGGTCATGTGGATGTGGGACAGGAGCCAGGAGGGCGGGATGGCAGAGTGGACAGGAGGGGGTGACATGGTTCTGATGCTGGAAGGTCTGGGATGGTTTTGCTTGGCCAGCGACGCTCTCAGCACACCCAGCACACTGCACACCCTTGTGTGGGCTGTCACTGGTTCCGGTGGTCTCGGTCTGTGTCCACAGGGGAAACACCACGGGGTCACTGCCCTGTGCCGGCCCCGGACCCGTCGTGCCACAGGGGCAACCCCCTGACTACCRAGGGGGCATCTGACCCCCAAACCTGCTGGGCCAAGTGCTACAGGTGGCCACCAGAGTTGGCCACCAGGTCCCGCTTCCCTGCTCCTCGCTGTCCTCAGATGTCTCTGTGCTGCCGAGCCGCGGTTGTGCCACGTGGTGCCGGCTCCTTGCCGTGGCTGGGCACTCATGGGGGGTGCTCAGGTCCTTCCCCTCCCTCCTCTACCCTCTGTCTTTCTTACCTCCCTGTTTTCCTCTTTGTCCTTGTTTTCCTCTCTCCTGCCTTACCCCTTCTCTCCCTCCCGATCCTCCCTTCTCTCCCTTTGTCCCCCTCTGTCCCCTCTCGCTCTCTGTCCCTGTCCTGCTCTCTGTGCTGGCGCCGGTTCTCTCAGCTTTGCTCCGCTCACTGCCAGGACGTCCCAGCTGAGCCCATGGTGCTGGCACTGCCAGCCCAGCACAGGGCCCTTTGTCCCCATGTGCCAGGGAGGGGTCACAGGGGGTCACAGGAGGCAAAAGCTGGGGGGACGTGGAGGGAGCCAGGTGGGCTGGGGGAGGCTGTGACCTGGGGTGGGCTGCGACCAAATTAATGTGGGGCAGAGCCGACAGTGGTGGTCGTGTCTTCACCAGCGAGCGGGGCCGGCAGCGCCGTCCCAGGGCCAGCAGTGCCCATCCTGCACCCGTCCCGCTGCCGCCACACGGCTCGTTAGCGCCGGCTCCTGTAACGAGTTGTGTTTTCTCCCCTCACTGCTCTCTCTGCTGCTTTGTCAGACTATGCCTTTGTGCACATGGAGAACGAAGCCGATGCTAAAGTTGCCATCGAAAACCTAAATGGGAAGGAGGTGAAGGGGCGCCGGGTGAACGTGGAGCTCTCCACCAACGTGCAGAAGAAGGGCACGGGCCAGGCCCCGCCGCCCGCCCTCGGCGTCGACAAGACCAAGCGCATCGGCCTCGAGTACCGCGAGAAGTTCCAGCCCAAGATCGAGGGCTTTGACCAGCAGCGCCGGGCGGCCGATGCCGCCTTCCCCTCGGCCGCGGGCACCGGCTACGCCGCCACCCCCTCCCTGTAYGATTACCAGCAGCGCTTCGGCGCCAAGTACGACGCCTTCGACGCGCAGCCCCGGCCCGCCTCCCCCTCCTACTTCGGCAGGGACCGCAGCCCGCTGCGGCGCTCACCYACCCGCGCCGGCTACGCGGCGGTGACGCTCCCCATGACGGCACAGCCGGCCGCCTATCGCGCCCAGCCCTCAGCCTCATTGGGGGCCACGTACCGYGCCCAGCCCTCGGCCTCCCTGGGTGTGGCATACCGCCCACAGCCCACCACGGGCCAGGCCGCCGCGTACCGCGCACAGCCCTCAGCCTCGCTGGGCAGCGCCTACCGCTCCCAGCCCTCGGTCGGCTCCCTGGGTGCCACGGGCGCTCAGCCCGCCGCCGCCAGCTCCCTCGGCTCCTACGGCGCCCAGCCCGCCGCTGCCGCCTCCTATGGCGCGCAGCCTGCTGCCGCCAACTCCCTCAGCTCCTACGGYGTCCAGTCCGCTGCCCTGGCCTCCTCCTACAGTGCCCAGCCCGCCTCGGGCTACTCGGCCGGCTACGGTGCCCAGCCGGCCATAGCTGCGTATGGTGCCCAGCCCGCTGCTGGCCCGGCCAACTCCTACAGCGCCCAGGCCGTGGCCACGCACGTGGTGTCCTACGGCGCCCAGCCGGCCGCAGCCTCCTACGGTGCCCAGCCCATGGATGGCCACGCCAGCTCCTACGGCGCCCAGCCTGGTGCTGCACTGTCCTCCAACTACGGCGCCCAGGCCGTGGCAGTGCATGCCAGCTCCTACRGYGCCCAGGCCGTGGCGGTCCACGCCAGCTCCTACRGCGCCCAGCCCATGGCCGGCCACTCGGCCTCCTACGGCGCTCAGCCCGCGCTGTCCGCCTCGTACGGCGCCCAGCCCGCCGTGGGCCACTCGGCCTCGTACGGCGCCCAGCCCGCTGCGGGCCTGCCCGCGTCCTACGGCAGCCAGCCCACGGCTGCCGCGCTCCCCGCCGGCTACGGCGCGCAGACGGGCTCCTCGCTGGCTGCGTCCTACGGCAGCCAGGCCGCCGTCGCCGCAGCCTCCTACAAAGCGCAGGCCTCCGCCCCGCTGACGGCCGCGTACCGGGCCCAGGCCTCCGGCGCCATGGCGGCCTCCTACCCGGCGCAGCAGCCGTCCTCCGCCGCGCTGGCGGCTGCGTACCGAGCCCAGCCGGGCAGCGCCTACGACGGGCCGAGCCAGCTGGGGCAGCCGGCCGGCTCCTACCTGGGCCTGGCGCAGGCCGCCGCCGCCGCACCGCCCTACGAGCGCACCCGCCTCTCCCCGCCTCGCAGCGCCGCCTACGACGACCCGTACAAAAAATCATCCTCTCTGGCTAAAAGGTACGGTGCCAGGCGGGGCACCGACCCCCACCCCTAYCTCCTGCTGCTCGCCGGCTCGCCGGGCTCCGGCGCACCGCTCGCGGCTTGACCGGCGCCACGCGGCACCAGTGTGGCTCGCTATCGCCCGGCGCGGTGGGCGCCATGGCTCCGCTCACGCCGCGCAGATCCCGGGGGTGGGACGGGGCTTGGTGCGGGCGGGGGGAGGTGGCGGCACATGGCAGGGCCTCCGTGGCGTCCGGTGTCCGATCCCGTCCTGCGCCGGCCCTGCCCATCGCAGTGCGTCCCCGGGYGGATGTGGTGCCGCTGCCGGCAGTGGATCCGGGAGCTATCCCCCCTGGCTGACCCCCGTCTCTTCTCTCGCCCAGGTATGGCTCYGAACGCCGGCTGTCCGAGCTGGCCGATTACCGGCGCTTAGCGGACTCGCCGCTGGCGTACCGCCGCTCGCCCACCAAGTCCCCGCTGGACTACCGCCGCATGCCGGACGCGCACTCCGAGTACGCCCGCTACTCGGGTGGCTACGGCGACTACCTGCCCGCTGCCCGCGTCCACTCAGGCTACCAGCGTCGCCTCTGAGCCGGCCACAGGCCCCGCTTGCCACCCCGCCAGGGCACGGACGGTTCTTTTTCAGCCTTTTTTTCTGGTTTTGCTGTTTGAGTTTTTTAGAAGGTTCCGCGGTTACGGTTGGCAGTGGCCGCGCGTTTTGTCCCCCGCCGGCGCTCGGCGCCAGTTCATAACCTGCTAATGGTTGCGGCCGTGTGGCCGAGACTCTTTTATACCACGAGTTGTCCCATTTTTTGGGTGCATTCCCCGTTCCCAGCGTCGGGCCCGGCACGGTGCCGGGGTTTTTTTACGACTGTAAATAAACATTGGGGGTCTGCTCCGGTTCCCAGCGCCTCCCGCCTGCTTCTTTCCCAGTCGCGGGGATCTGCTCCCACCCCTGGGGGACACCTCCCAGTGCCACCATCATCACCCAGCACGGGCTGATGCCACTCCCGATGCGTCCCCACCACAGAAGAGCTGGATTTGGAGGATCTGCAGCATTCACAGCTGGCAGCAGGGAGTGCTGCACTCAGCAGTGCCATGACACCAGCACRGATCTGTGCTGGGGCTTTGTTTTGGGTGAGAAAAGTTGGTTTTGAGGGGTTGTGCTGTGTTTGAGCAAGAGCTGTGGTGGTGTGTGTTACTGTCACCACTGTGACCCTTCCTGCGGGCACTTCCTCTCCCGTCTCTCACTAGGGAGAGGTCACAGCCCAGTCCCRACTGTGCCATGGCAGGGACGGCCAAGGCTCATTAACCACCGCAGTAATTAGCCAGGCGGGAGGGTCTAAAGCTTCTCCCCTCCTTTCCAGAGAGGCCACACAACCCCTGGRCCTGGCCACGAGTCTGCAGGTGTGGCTATGGCAGCGCCCTTGGGTGACACTGGCACTGATCAGCACTGGCAGGGCAGAGGCAAAACATCACCAAAGGGATGTCCTGGGCTTAATGGCCTTAATTAATGAGCACCAAGGGGCACGGAGTTCAGTGTGGGCCATGGGGGGGCCATGTTTGGGCAGGCTGGGGACAAAATGAATCACTTTAGGAACAAACAAAGCAGTCTGGGGACTCATTAGCCCCAGGGCAGGTTAAATAGCAGCTCCTGCCACCCATGAGGAGGGAGAGGAGGAAGAGCTGGGGGTTAAAGACCCCCTCTGTAACCCCTGGGTGCCCATTTTGGGGGCCCTAGGACTGTTTTGGGGGTGCCCTCCTTTGGAGCAGCCCCTCTCTGAGAGCTGCAGTCAGCATGGGCAGCACCGGGGGGTCCAGAAGGTGCCATGCCATGTTCTGAGGGGATGTGAGTGCAGAGAAAGAAGCGTGGGCAGAGCCAGCGCCGTTTGTTAAAAATTTTGAGTTTATTTTACCGGAAAGGGGGGTTGGGGGACTCTAAATCACTGTGCGGGGGGGATTCCACCCCCGCTGGCGCGGCGGCCTCCGGTCAGCTACGGCGTTGGGCTAAAAACCTACCACTGGATTATCCACCCTCTTAAAAAAATAAAGGAAAAAAAGGCAAAACGACGACTCGGGAAGAGCTCCGGGGGAGCGWGGGGGCGGCGAAGCAAAGCAAAGCTGGCGCTGGGGGACGGCTGCAGCTGCGCGCTCACACCTGAGCCTGGGGCGGGGACCCAAAACTACCTGGAAAAGCAAAATCCTGCCCAGGGGGGCGGGGGAAGCTGGGGGAGGGGCTGAGCTAATCCTGCCCGGGCTGAGGACGAGCCGCGCGTCTGTAAGGAACGGGCCCGGGAGCGGCACGCGGCGGCGGTGGCACCCGGCGCTGCCCGAGACRCGCGGCGCCGAGTCGGCGTGCGACGGGACCCCGACGTCCAGCCGCACAAATCTTACCTGTAAGAGAAAAGAGGAGTTGGCGCAGGTGCCCCCGGGGCCGATCCGGAACCGTGCCGAGCCCCGGTGCCCCGGGGAGCTGCGGCTTCCTGGCAGCAACAGAGTCCTGACGTGGAGCAGCAGCGGGGCTCCGGCCCACCGGGATCCCCGGCCCACYGGGAACCGGGCACAGCCCACGTGGGCACGAGCTGCCCCGGGGCCGGGGGCTCTGTGGAAACCCCCCACCCTGTGGGGACTGTGCTGAGACAGAGCCTGGCCCAGCAGGAACATGAGTTACGGCCGGGAGAGAGACACCAGCGCTGCCCCGCTAATCACAGCACCTTCTCACCACAACAGGGCTTTAACGCCCATGGGGCCTGTTGTGTCACCATGACCCATCACCCGCCTCAGGCTCAACCAGCACAACCGGGACCACCGGCAGCGGGGCCCCCCAGCGGCGCCGAGAGCCGCCAACGCGCTCACCTCCGGCTCAAAAGGCGGAGTAGCGCGCCCGGTCCRCGTACGGGTCCCGCCCGAAGCGCTGCATGTCGTAGAGCGACGCCCGGGCCACCGAGGAGACGGGCGACAGCTGCCCACGGTCATACGTGTACGCCTCTCCGACGGTGCTGGCCGCGGCGGCCGTGCGGCGCAGGGGGCTCCTGTCCCGGGTGTAATACGTGGAGGACGCGGCGGCGGCCGCGGCGGTGGCAGCGGCGGCGGCAACGGCGGCCGCCGCGCCCGGGGTGGGCAGCAGAGCTCGGTCGTACGCGTCTAAGGTGGTGGGGATGCGGCCGGCCATGGCCGTGGTGGCGGCCAGGGCCGAGGACTGGACTTGGGAGTACTGGGCGTACTGGGAGTACTGGGCCATGGTCTGCTCCGCGTAGGCGTCGTACGCCGAGGCCGTGGCGTAGGAGCGGACGCGGTAGCGCTTGTAGTAGTCGGCCATCCCGCCGTAGGCCTCATCGTAATACACGGTCTCCCCATAGCCCGCGGTGTAGGGAGTGCGCACGGCTCCGTACTGCTCGTTATAGGCCTCGGCAAAGTCCGCCACTTGCCCCGGGCGATCGACCGGGCACTCCTTAGACCAGTGCCCCTCCTTCCCGCAGCGGTAGCAGCCGCTCTTGTCTCCCATCCCGGGCGCCGTCCGCAGCCGGCTGGTGGACAGCTGCACGCGCATCCGCTTGCCTTGGGGAGAGGGAGACCCGGCGTCACCCCCCGGCACCGCGCCCTGCCCACCCCCAAAACCTCGGGCATCACTGTGGGATCCCTCAAACCAGCCCAGCGTTGGCATCAAGGCCATGGGATCCCCCCGAGCTGATCCTGACACTGGCACAAAATCTCCCAGTCGCACCCAGCACCAGGCCACAGAGACCCCGAGACTTTTCTTTGAACAAACTGAGGGATAAAAGCCCAGGTCCTCCTTGSTCTGGAGTCCCTGTCAGAATAACCAGCTCAAACTGTTATTTTGTTATTCAGTTATTTAATTATTGCACCAAGACTGAATTATTTTAAGGATTGGATCATCTGAGATTTTGCAAAGGGAGCTGGAGCCAGTGGTCCATGGGACCCTCCCGAGAGGGCATCAGCACCACAGCAAAGGAACCTCGAGAGTCTCCACCAGAACCACGGGACCCCCAAGAGTTGGCACCAGCCCAGGGGACCCTGATAGCCACCCAGGACACTGTGGGACTCCTGAGAGCCACCGCTGGCACCGCTGAGGGCAGGGGTGACAAGAGCCACACCAGCTCCCACAGGTAAGGGGGCAGTTCCAGGCAGGAGCTGGGGTGCAGAGGAGCCGACCCAGCAGCCCCCAGACACGGTGCTTGCTCCCAGCCCCATTTTCCTGATATCGCCCCAAATTCCAGCAGGACAGGGACACCATCAGTCCTGCAAGGTGGCCCCAGGGGCAGAAATCACCCTGAACCAACCAGTTTGGGGCAAATCCTCCATAATTCCTACAAACCCAGCACTGCAGAGCTGCTCAGCCCCGACACGGAGCCACCGCGGTGCCCCTGKCCTCAACAGCAGATGAGGGCACAGGGACAGCACACGGCACCAATGATTCCCCAGAGCCAAATTCCAGCACTCTGGGATGAGAAGAAGCTCCAAACGCAGCAGCCACGATTGAGTGGGGACGGTAACACCGAAATCACCCAGAACTTCCCCATGCCCCAGCCCAGCCTGGAGCTCCCCGAGCCCACAGCTCACCTTGGAACTCGGTGTTGTCCAGCCCTCKGATGGCCTCTACGGCATCCTCRGCCCGCTCCATGTGCACGAAGGCGTAGTCCTTGACGATGTCRCAYTCKATGACGGGGCCATACTCCTCGAACTTGGCGCGCAGCTCCAGGTTGGTGCACGCGGGGCTGATGTTGCCCACGTGCAGCTTGGTGGAGGCCTTGCTCTTGTTCTTGCTGGCCTCCACGTTGATGCAGACGCCGTGCAGCTTGTGGTGGTGCAGGTTGCGGATGGCGTCCTCKGCCGCCGTCTTGTCCTCGATGTGCACGAAGCCGTAGTTCTTGATGATGTCGCACTCCAGCACCTTCCCGTACTGCTCGAACAGGGAGCGGATCTCCTGCTCCGTCGCCTCGCGCGGCAGGTTCCCGATGAACAGCTTCACCATCGCGACCCGCCTGCGCCGGACAGCGCCGCGGTGAGCCGCGGACCGCACCGAAACCCCCGGGAAAAAACAGCCCCGTCCTCTGGGTGTGTGCCTGGAGCTGCACCCACAAACAGCCCCGAAACCCCCAAAAAACTGCCCCAAAATCCCTGGAGAAACAGCCACGTCCTCTGGGTGTGTGCCCAGGGCTACACCCATGAACAGCCCCGAAACCCCTGAACAAACAGCACCAAAACCCCTGGAGAAACAGCCCTGTCCTCTGGGTGTGTGCAAGGGGCTGCATCCATGAAAAGCCATGAAACCCCTGAAAAAACAGCCCCAAAACCCCCCAAAAGACAGCCCCAACCTCAGTGAGTGTGCCTGGGGCTGCACCCATGAACAGCCCTGAAACCCCTCAAAAAACAGCTCCAAAACCGCTGCAGAAACAGCCCTGACCTCTATGCCTAAGGCTGTGCCCGCAAACAGCCCTGAAAACCCCCAAAAAACAGCCCCATCTTCTGGGTGTGTCCCTGGGGCTGTGCCCCACTAAAACCCCAAATAAACTCCCCAAACCTCTCTGTGTGTGCTTGGGGCTGTAGCCCCAAAGACCCCAAACCTCTACAAATAAACACCCCAAAACTCTGCCCCTGCTCACTCATGGCACCCCAAATCCTCAAAAACCCTGAATTTCATTGTGGGCCCCTGGGGCTGAAGTCCTCTCAGAGCAGAGCCATAAATACCCCAAATAAACACCCCAAAACTCTGCCCCTGCAGGGCTGTCCGCTGTAACACCCCAAATCCCCCTCAAATAAACACCCTGAACCTTTGTCTGTGTCCCAGGGTTGTGCCCACAAACACGCCAAATCCCTCTCAAATAAAGACCCCAAAGCTCTGTGTGGATGTCTGGGACTGTGCCCACAGACATCCCAAATCCCCCCAAGAATCTGTCCCTGCTCCTTCAAACACCCCAGATCTCCCCCAAAATAAACACCCTGAATCTCTGCCCGTGCCCCTCCCCGGCTGTGCCCACAAACACCCCCTAAAAAACACCTTAAACCTCTGACACCCCAAAAACACCTCAAGCCTCTGACATCCCGAAAATCACCTAAACCTCTGACATCCCTTTTCCTGCAGGGCCGAGCCCCCCCAGASTGCACAGCCGCGCCCCGAACCCCAAAACCCCTCAAGGGCAGAGATCCCCCCAATTCCCTCCGTTCCTTCTGCGCCTGAGACCCCCTCAGACCTGAGACCCCACAGATCTGAGACCCCCCCTCCCAAACCCCTCCGCTCCACAGGCCCGAGACCCCCCCAAACCATCCCGGATCGCATCCCCCGAGGGTTCCCGGTGCCTCAGCGGGGCCGTGGCCGGGTCTGTCC